CCAGTCCGTCCCCACCTGAGGGCAGCAGCATGGTACGTGTCCACGTAGTCGGAGATGAAGAGCTCGCGGTTCTTGATCACGGGGTCGGTGATGACCAGCTCCCGTCCCGAGTCTGCAGAGATAAACAGCAGCACAGCCCTGACACACAGCTGGGCCACCAGGGCACAGCCCCAGGGGCTCCTCAGGTGCACTCTGAGCTGACCGACTCTGCTCGCGTGGGCTGTGGGAATTGATGGGCAAGAACATCACTTCTATTCTTGTCCATCAATTCTCCCAGGGCTTCTGAAGGGAAAAGCCTTCCAAGGGCACTGGGACTCCTCCTGACCACTGGGAGCATCACTCGCGGGTGGGAGGAACCAAGGAAATGAACCTGTTTGGTTTCCAGGATAAGGCATGGGCTCCTGTGCATATTTAATGTCAAATCTGCAACAAAATCCTGACATGGAGCTCTGGCTTTGAGGTAAATATTGACATTCATGTTCAAACACAGAAAATTCTGAGCGCTAACAAAAGAACTGGAAGACAACTTTTTCCATGACTTCTTTCTAATACCTTTGAGGAAGACACAAAAATACTTCTCCACACACAGGAGACTGCAATAAAAGCAGCCATGCTATCAAAAATCCTTTTTGACACTGTGCCTGTAATCTCATTGTTAGAAGCTTCAAATAAATTAGTAACAGAAATGTTAGATTTGTGGAGCTCTTGCTAAAAGCACACACAGAATGTCCTTTCATAAGGGGAGCGTGTGCTCAACTTTGTTCTGTCAGGCACCAGAAAGTTGCTGCATTCCACATTTCAATCACCAACTTTTATCAGCACGGTTCACCTTGGAGTATCTTCAGAATTTTTAACAGTTGCCTCAAGGAAATTTCCTGGTAAGAACAGAAGCAAATGTTATGTCTTCCCTGGAGGCAGGAGATAAATGACACTGGGATATGTACTAAAGTTCCTTCTGCTCCTGTGAAAGCCAAGATCACACTTGTTTTTGCAAAGAGAAAAGGGAAAACTCAGCTCCAAGTGCTTCAGTTGCATCCCTCACTGCAATATTAATCACAGTGAATATTCACTGCAAGGGAGCACAACTGAGAGAGACACAGCTCTCACGGCACTGTTCATGGCAGAACCACAAACCAGAGGAGATCCCCAATTTCTGCAGATAATTTGGTGCTCAGTTCATTATCAGCACAGTGTCCAGAGGCCTACCATGGATCCAGGGTGATTTTGCTTTTCTATTCTCCTTCAAGGAGATAATAGTAATAATCATCATCATCATACATGATAATAATTTTGTTATGCTATTATTAACGTTGTTGCTGTTGCTATTAATTATTATTCATAGTGCAGCCAAGCACTTCCAGCACACCTGGAATGGCCCTGATTACAGGAGCAGGACACACAGCAGTGACACCAGGCAGGTAGAGAGCACCATGTCCTGGTTCCACAGCCCAGTGCAGAAGTGTTCTGTTAAACTGGGACTGGGACAAGGCAGGCTGGCCCTCTTAAAGCTGGGATTGGGGCAGGCTGGCCCTGTTAAAGCTGGGATCGGGGCAGGCTGGTCCTGTTAAAGCCGGGATTGGGCCAAGCTGGCTCTGTTAAAGCTGGGATTGGGGCCGGCTGGCTCTGTTAAAGCTGGGATTGGGGCAGGCTGGCTCTGTTAAAGCTGGGATTGGGGCCGGCTGGCTCTGTTAAAGCTGGGATTGGGGCAGGCTGGCCCTGTTAAAGCTGGGATTGGGGCAGGCTGGCCCTGTTAAAGCCGGGATTGGGCCAAGCTGGCTCTGTTAAAGCTGGGATTGGGCCAAGCTGGCTCTGTTAAAGCTGGGATTGGGGCAGGCTGGCTCTGTTAAAGCTGGGATTGGGGCAGGCTGCCCCTGTTAAAGCTGGGATTGGGGCAGGCTGGCCCTGTTAAAGCTGGGATCGGGGCAGGCTGGCCCTGTTAAAGCCAGGATCATGCCAAGCTGCCCCTGTTAAAGCCAGGATCATGCCAGGCTGTCCCCACTCACCGTTCTCGTTGTGCCTGTCCTGCACCAGGTGCTGGTACACCGAGTCGGGCACCTCGGACTGGCGGTAGTACCACTTGACGTTCATCAGCAGATGGTCCCTCTTGCTCTGAAAAACAACCCTGGGGTGTTACTGACAGGAAATCAGCCCCCAGCCCTCACTGGAACCCCCCAGGTCAGACCCAGAGGCAGGAAAGCATTTCTCCAGCCTGATTGATTTCCAGCCCAGACAAAGGCAGGGAGACCCTCCTGCATCAGTTGTGTCTCTGCATCTGACCAGCAAACCCCAATCTACTCACTCATGTTAATTAACCCAGGGAAAGAGGCAGGGATCAGAAAAGGATTGCAATTTTTGGCCTCGTGCAGGCTGCTGATTTCCACAAATAAGAAGTATTTATGGCCAAACATGCAGAAAAGAATACCCACAGTAACACCATTCAGTGCAACCATTCTGAGCAGTGGGAACCAAGAGATAATAGATTTTTTTCCCCCAAGGACAGATGGATCCAGACATAATCATAGATGTTCTTTATTACACAAAAGAATAGGATACTGCACTTCAATCACAATAATTACAGGCTCTGACTGCTCATCAACCTCACAGCAAAATTTACACAAAACTGTCTTCCCCAAATGCTCTTTTTTCACTGAGGCTCCAGCCACCAATTTGTTCCTTCTTAGAAGGAAACTGAAGCATAAACACCCCTTAGAGAGAACTTTTAGATGGAGTCACTACAGACTCTGCTCAGTTCATCTCTGAACCCCCTGGTCTGCAATTCTCCCTGCTGCTCCAACACAGAGAACAACAAAGGCCTGAAGGGAAGGGAACATTCCTCTGGCATGAGGCAAGTGCAGCCTTGTTTTCCTCCGGGCTGCAATCCCCTAGGGCAGTCTGAGACTGCTCCTGAGCTCCAAACCCACTCTGGGCTCCCCTGCAGGTCCCTGGGCTGTGGGCAGGTTCTGCTGGCTCCCTGCAGCAGCAGCAGCCCGGTGTCAGAGCTTTCCTGCTGAACAAACAACAGCCAGACCTTCCCGGGAAAGCATTTCCTGAGCAGAGCTGTGTAATACCGGCACACCACTGCCAGTGGCAGCATTGTGCCAGGAAAGCTGGGACCGAGCCACCTCGACATCCCCATCATCCCCATCCCCAGAGCCTCGGAGCATCCCGACCAAGCCACATCCACATCCCAAAGCCTCTGAGCATCCCAGACTGAGCCACCATCCCCATCCCCAGAGCCTCTGAGCATCCCTGGGCTGACCCATCTCCACCATCGCCATCCCCAAAGCTTCTGAGCATCCCTGGGCTGAGCATCCCCAGGCTGAGTCACTTCCCCATCCCCAAACTGCTCTGAGCATCCCAGGCTGAGCCATCTCCACCATCCCCATCCCCAAAGCTTCTGAGCATCCCTGAACCGAGCCACCTCCACCATCCACATCCCAAAGCCTCTCAGCATCCCCAGGCTGAGTCACTTCCCCATCCCCAAAGCCTCTGAGCATCCCAGGCTGAGCCACCATCCCCATCCCCAGAGCCTCTGAGCATCCCTGGGCTGACCCATCTCCACCATCCCCAAAGCTGCTGAGCATCCCCAAAAGCCTCTGAGCATCCCTGAACCGAGCCACCTCCACCATCCCCATCTCCAAAGCCTCTGAGCATCCCTGGGCTGAGCATCTGAGTCACTTCCCCATCCCCAAACTGCTCTGAGCATCCCACACTGAGCCACCATCCCCATCCCCAGAGCCTCTGAGCATCCTGGGCTGGAGCCTTTCAAACACCACAGCTGCAATCAGAGCAAACAGGGGAAAAAATCAAAGGGACAGCGAGGGAGAGGCTCTGATTTCTGCTGCCTGCTGCTCAGGAATTGGGGCTGCAGGCTCAGCTGTTCTGCTGGAATAATGCTCTGTGCACCACAGCTTTTACGGGCAGTCTCTGTGAATTCTGGAGACTAAAAAGTCCGAGTAAATAATGTGTTACCCTCTCGCTAAGAGTTCATAAATTCTCTTGGTGAGCTCACAGCAATGATGGGAAACATCAACCCAGCATCCCTCTGCAAATTCTCTGGGTGTTCTTTGGGGGAAGATGAGCTGATCTCCTTCCTAAATACCTTTTGGGTCATTTTGGTCCAATTCATTTAACAGCTGCACCCTGACAATCCCTCTTCTGTGCCCACTCTCCAGCACAGAGCACTTTGTGGGGTTGAACCTGAAGCTTCAATCTTGCTAAAAACACAAAACGTCTGTCAGAGTCTCCCTTTTCACATTTCCATCCCTCATGGCACACAGATTCCTAGACATGCTATTTTGCCAGCCAACTTCCTAAATGCTCATGTCATCTATAAAGCAGGCTGCACTCAGAGGTGTCAAGGCACCCTCTCCTGTGGCAGACTCTGTATTTCCAAACCATGTGCACACAAAGGAAGTGTCCCCTCCCTCCTAAAAGTGTGACTTTTTTTTTTCTTTCCCTTTTTTTACACCTTTACATGTGAAAAGCTGCAGACAGTCACACGCCAAAGCCAGGCTTGCAGAAAGTGCAGCCATGGCAAGAGCTTTAAATTTCAAGTGTCTTTGTGTCAGCTCAGAACGATTCCCTGTGCTGCAAAACCACATTCTCCCCTTTAATGAAAATATTGTCTTTTGCTGCAGCGCTCACAAAGTGCTCATTTGGGGGTTTTATTCTCGCTGACATTTTGGGTTTTGTTCCTTTTAAACAGCATGAATCAGTTTTGGACATTGAACAAGAATTAGATGGGATCTGTAAATGGATTAAAGCATCTCAGTTCACAGGCATCTGGTCAACTTCTATTTAAAATGAGCCTCTGCCTTGAAGGGGGAAAAATAATGCTGCAAATTCTCTTTAGAAAGCAGCAATGTCCTGATTTCACAGCATTGGTGGCAGTTCCAAGGTGCTTTCCCTGGGGAGGCATTTTCAGAACAGAGTTCTGCACACCCACAGAGGCTGCAGAGGGGTGAGAGCCCAATGAGCATCAGCACAGATGTCCTGCAGCTCCTCCAGGGGAACAATCACACCCTGCCCTGTTCAGGGAGCTCTGGGCACAGCGTGCCAACGGCTGCCATGGCAGATGGGCACAGACCAACAGCAATCCCAGGGACACAAACAGGACAAGGAACAGAACATCTCCCTCCCCAGCCTGTTTGCCACATAAAACATCACTCCTCCTCACTCTCACTCCATTCTGACATTTACTAATAGTCAGAGAGAGAAAAGGAACAATAAAAACCATTTAAATTCACTGTTTGGGGTTTTTTTCCCTACAGAGGGGGCACAAATGAACCTATCTGGAAATGAGGAGCTAAGGAGACACAGCAAGGATTATTTCCCTTCCCTCTCCACAGCAGCACGTGTAATCCAACGTTCTCAGGGTATCTTTTTGTAGGCTGTTTGCTAATTAATTAAGAAAACTGATCAGCTGTTTGTAAGCCAAGCGAACCCAGCCTGGAAATGCAGAGGTTATTACTACAAATGAATGTTATTTTTGCAGCTTGATTATTTAATTCAGATGCCTGCATAGCAACACATAATTACTCCTTGCAAACAGAGCAGCATTGTCAGTGTTCAGCAAGAAACACAAATGTGAAATAAAAGCAGTGATGTGGGCACAGCAGATTAACCCTCGGTGCCCCTGCCCAGGCAGGGCTGTGCCCTCACCCCGAGCCAAGGCAGGGCCCAAACCTGCTGCTGCTGTCTAATGCTCCACCTGCAGGGGTTTCCTGATGGAAACAAGCTGTGGCTGTGTGATTGGGCTGATGGAGGGCACTGATGGAGCAGGAAATGAGCAGCCCTGGGAAAGCTGTGATGATCGATCAGAGGATGCACTGAGTGTGAGCTGAGCTGGGGATGGGCTGCTGGGGCAGCAAATATTGCTGTGTGCAGGGTGAGGGCCCATTCCTGTGATCTGTGCAGGGCACAGTGTCATTTATTGACAAAACAATATCGGATTTTTTTCACAACTGACTTCTGCTGACTGATTACAGCAAGAAATTTTCACGTGTTCTTTTTATTCACAAACGAAACTCCTTTTGGCATTCACTGAGTCACCTCAGCATGCTGGGAATGGATTCAGCCTGGTGTAGGAGGAGCTGTGAGGTGTAAAA